ATTTCCTCCTTTAATACTGGCAGTAATACCGCAGATCGTCACTAGGAGGTGAGGAGTCGAGGAACCGTGATAGCGTGATGGTTAAACGGCCGTCAGAACCGAGCTCGGACCAGTCTCGGCATGGATCGGTTTTTCAAGGGTAGTGTAATTGGGGTATTAGAGTACTCACCCTTGGGTTCTTGGGTCTTCCCACTGTGTCGTCTTGGTGTTGTGGTTCACAAAGTAAACTCTGTCATTAGAGTCCACACGCCTCTCTACAGGTATATATCAAACACATGGCGGTTAGTTTACAGATTCCACTTCAAAACAATACAAGAAGAAAAAGCAGTGGAGCAATTATTTGCTTGTTCATTTGAGTGAACTTTTTTAAAAACCAGAACATAAAGCAGATAGATGATGAACTTACCCCAACCAGGAGGAAGAGGGCCAAGAGGATCGTTCTCAGCAGACATCATAGATGCCTAGAAATCAACAGTTTACATTAAAATCTTAAAAGGACAGAAGATACAAATCCTTCTATAAATAAAAAAAAAACATGTCTTCCAAGTGAAAACGTGGTTTAAGTTGGTGATTTTACTACTTCTTATTAGAATTAGCTCAGCACGACACATGAAAACTGCAGAGATCCTAGATTCTATGGCAGTAAACAGTTTTCAACCTGAGGTTTTAGTTTAGGCTGAAGAATGGAGCTCGACTTCAGAAAATGTGCTGAAAGGGGGAAGTAAAAACAAAAACCTTGGAATAAAAAGATGGGAGTAGACTGATTAAATTATAAATGCATACAGCGGGGATCTAAGCTCATCATTTTATGATCAACACCATCAGGATATGATTGGTCAGACCAAAAAAACAAAAACCGTTTAAACCGTTTAATGAAGCGTATCTGAACTCTGAATGCAGCTGATTGAGTTTAAAGTAGCTGCTCTGAGTAAATCCTACAGAGCCTCATCTTTACTCTGGATTCGTACAGAAAGTGATTGCTTAATGGTGAGTAGCAGAAACTAAAGTGTCTGTTAAAGGTATAGAGGACGATAATTTAATTCTGGGTGGATCATCAGGGTTTATACAGGAATTAATAACTCAAATTTAATGCTATTTAAAGGTCTTTTAATGCTCTTAGAAATCATTTTAATGCCATCAACAGGTACCTGTCGACGAGCTGCGGCCATGTCTCGAATTCCTTGTTTTCCAGCCACTTTTGTTGAAATTAGCTTTTTTTCCCCCTCCATTCTCTAGTTTTTTCTCCGGCTCAGTTCCACGCAAATATATCGAAATATATAATGTCTGACGAAATTGTTTTATAAACATTTTTTTAATAAAGCATTTTAAATGCCACAATAAACACATTTAATGAATTTGAATGCCAATTAAGGCCTTAATAAAAAAAAAAAATAATTTAATGACTTTTAATGACCTGCAGAAACCCTGATCATCTAAATAAGGGTACCTCCTACGCGTTTGTCCCGTTAGCTAACTTTTTCTGCGCATGTGAACTTTCAGGCGTATATCTGTGGTGAGCTTCGGTTTCAGAAAGTCAAAGCTCACCTTTCTCACTGTGGTTCTTTAAAAATGGCAGAGAAAAAGTGTCGAAGAAGTGTATGAGAAGAAAAGAAAGGCCTCAGAAGAGGCAGATATATCTCAGAATGCTTTGCGCGGAGAGCTCTCCTCGCAAAGCATTCTGGGATTTGCTGCCGCCATAGGCTGTCAAGATCCAACAGCGTCGACTAATAAAGATGGCGCAGGGACCGCGCAGTGGAGGAGGAGTTACGTTACCAATTGAGCAAAAAGCAGTGATCATCTGTCTGAACGGTCCGTTAACTGAGATATAGTCCCTGCTGTATGTGGACACAGTAAGCTTGTATGAAATATGAGAGCTGCACATTTTAAACAGGGTGTGCACGAGGAGAAATGAGCTTGTGCGTGCTCTCGCACGTGCATTTTTAAAATTGGAGAAGGCAGATCTTTTAAAAAAATCCTCCATAACACTTTTAAGGATGAAGGCAGAGGGACATCAAACACTAAATTCTGGCGAAAAGGAAGACTATCTGCTGCCTCCAGTTATTTGTTGTTAACCTATTAGCTTGTTTTAAATGGACAGGGTGCCAGTTGTTCTCATCTAAGGGCAGAAATCCTAAAAAACAGCAAAAATTAACTTCATCCTTTTAATCAAAACCATTTAATTTCAACTAAATAGATTTTAGATTAATTTAAAGGGCCAATGCCTAAAAACAAAACAAAAAGATGGCTACTTATTTTACTTAAAAGAAAATGATCCATCATGGTTCAGATACATGAAAACAGATCCATAATTGTGACCTGACTTTGTGTTCACTAGTACCTCCCCCCCTCCCAGCGGTTAGGACAGCCATAGTGCCTCTCAATCATAAACACATGACAGTACCAAGCAAGTCAAAGAACTGCTTACAGAGTAGAGGTATCTCTGGTTGAACTGATGCATAGCTCCCTGCAGCTGGCTGCGCTGGCTCTGCCACTGCTCAAAGTTGCGCACAGATTCCATCGTGGGGCGCTGCCACGTGGTGGTGCGGGTGTTGTGGTCAACATAATAGATCCGACCCCGATCGTCCACTCGACGTTCCCATCTGGAAACATGAAGAAAATTTGAATACAGGCAGCGGATAATTGACTGCACAAGGTCTATAAATCCTTTCAGGTAGTAGGGGGGCTAATTGGTGGATCTTGATATCTAACTGAAACTGGTTCATCTTTATTTAATCACAGCAGTGTTGAAATTATCAAGCTGAAAAATACTGTCTGATAAAACAGATGATGTTTGTGAGGTCATCCACTCTAGAAGGAAAACAGTCAAAGTACATGTCGACCCTCACCCTGTAGGTAATGGCTGTGGCCTCTCCCAGGTAGTAGTTCTGGTGTTGTGGTCTACATAGTAGGTTCTCCCATGAGGATCTTTTCTCTGCTCCCACCTGAAACACAGGGATTATCATAAAAATGAAAGCATATTAAGGCTTTTAGGTTTCCCAATAACTCAAACATTTGTCAGGACTAAGAATGTAAGCAAATAATGGACTTGATCGTCGATTAATGGTTTGTTAGATAAAAATTTGCTCCATCCAATTAATAAATAAGGTCCCTTAAAAGGAATTTCTTTCAGGGATGCGTTCCAAAAAAGTTAAAAAAATAAACCTTTGGACTTTGTTTCCAAGTTTGAAGATGTTTTGTTTCCCATCCAGGAAGCTTTTTCAATTCAAATCTCAAAAATAGAGTTGACTTGCTTTATACAGTAGCCCAAAAAAACCTTATTTTTGCTTAGATAACATGCAAATCTGTATAAAGCAACTCAACACCACTTCTGAATGGGAAGCGAAATGTCTTCAAACTTGGAAACAAAGTCCAGTGGTTTACTTTTTAACTTTTTTGGGGAATGACTATGACCTGGATGACTAAGAATCTTCACCAGCACATTTCAGGGATGCAGTGTTGCTGCTGTTTATTATTAAGCAGAACCTCACTGGTATTTGCCAGCAGAACCATGAATTGAGCCAGAGTCCGCTCCAGGATTATTTATGCTGCTAATGGCAAAAGGATGCTTAATTAACTTTATGCGGTTCTATTTGTAAATATAAACACTGGATAAACTCCTTAGGTTATCACCTCATTAGCACCTATTTAGCTGTGGTGTATAGCAGAGCAGCGCTGCCTTTCCTGCTGTATTCGATAGGTGAGGATGTGAGGACAGAAAAGTGCAGGATACTAGCCAAAACATTTGAAACGTGATGGAGGACACACTGGTAACAAGAATAGGCTTTTGTGAGTTAATGCACTAAATGAAGCCAAGTTTGAACATTCCTCTGAGAGCAACCACAACTTCCTGCTCACAAAGTCTCTCCCAGAACTTGATGCTTTATAACACTAAAAACAGATCTAATTCTTGCCGTCCCTATATTCTGACAGGATGTATCCCGTCTTTTTATGATAGTTACATGTCTGTAAATTGGAAATCATAACCGCTTCACATATGTACCTCCGCCAAAGGAGGTTGTTTTTATTAGTTGAGTTTGTCTTTATCTGTCTGTGTACAGGGTAATTTGAAAAGAGGTGAACATTTTATTAAATTGTACCAAAGCTGAACATCATAATCTGGATGCATTTTTTTTTTTTTTTTTTTT